CCCCCCAAAAAAAAAACCCAGTTTCAAACTTAATATCCATATTCTTGGGCAAACCACGTCCAATTTAGTTTTCTGATTATACAGTCTATTAGCTAAGGCAGTGTGCTTTGCCTACTTCAGTGTATAACCTTACATTGTCTTCAAAATATTATACCAAAAAGGCAGCATTAAAAGCTGTTTGTCACATCTAACAGAACACACTTTAATAAGATTCCTAACAACTTCCAAAAAGAAAGCATGTCACTTTGGAAAGCTACCGTATTACTTATGAAATTAACAGATTCAGTGACATCTCAGTACAGAAAAAAAAAAAGCAGCATTTTAAACACCAAAATTGCAGTCGCAAAGAAGCTGTTCTAGAACTACTTTAAGTGGCCATTTTCAAAGGTATGCACCTTATGAAGATCCTCCTTCTCTTGCCGCAGTACTCTGCACTGCTTTTCCAGTCCTTTTAATTTGTGTATAGAGTCTTCATGTTCTTGTCGAAAAGCCACTGCATCTGCAAGCTGTCCTTCCAGTTTACTTATATCTGTAGAGAAATAAATACTAAAGGTAACTTGTCCCAAATTTATATAAAGCAAACTAGCATCACTTTGATTAGGAAACTCAACTGATGAATTTCTGTGTTCCCCACTGCCACCGTCTTAGACGGCTTAAGGTACTTTGGGGGCATTGAAGACTGTATAATTTTAACTTTCTCAACATACTAACAAAAAAAAAAAACACTCCTGTCAAAGACAGTTATTTTTTGAAGTGAAAAAGCTGAAAAAGCCTTAGCATAGGGCTTCGTTTTGTGAGAAATGCAACTTGACGATATAGACAATATAGCTCTTGACAATATAGCTCTTGACAATATAGAATCAAACTTGAGTTATTTGATTTCCAGTTCTAGTAATTCGACTTTTAAATAGTTTTCGCTATATGACACGTAAAACTACAATCATTAGTGCATCCACCAAGACAGGAAAGAACTATTTCCTAGAGTACATAAGTGCTTACAATCTGGGAAGGAAACACTGTCCTGCACGAGTCAGACTCGAGTCCCAGCTACCCACATTCCTGCCACCATGTTCTCCTTGCAGTTTTCCTGTCAGTCTCGAAGCAAAATTAAATTTGATTTGAAATGACCACCTTTAAGCACAAAAGACTAACCAACTTCAGGTAGTTCCACTCAGTCTTAGAGCTGGTAAGAAACTGAACTGCCATTCTTCATTTAGTTTTAATTATTACTTCTTTTCAACAAATAAATAAGAAATTACATAGGGTAACTGCCTTGCTCGAGGTTCCACTGACGTCTGTGGCAAAAGAGGAAACTGGACTTACATATTCAAAGATCCCCAGCACTGCTGTAACTAGAGTATCATTCCTTTTCTCATTTTAGCACAAAGCTGCGCTAAAATCCTTCCCCATCTTACATCAGCCAATACCATTTCTTTTTAAAATCACACTAAACTGCTGCTGTTTACGTTTAACAGCACACCACAGGCTGAAGGGTTAGGTAAGCCTGAACCATTTGAAGAAGCACCACCATAATCTAACTATTTTGACTCAAACCCAGTTCCAGAACATACAAGAAGTTATTCTTGGAAAGGTAATCTGCTTCGCAGAGCAAAGCTGATTCTGCAATAGATCCACCTAGAAGGGGACGTATTCACAAACTGTGGGGGGGGGGGAAGAAGTTGTGGCTAATAACTGACCATGATGCACAAAGTAACCTAATGAATTAAGGGAATACTAGAAACTTGGAGGTGGGGAAAAAAACATTGACTGATCTGAAAAACAGAGGTGAGCATTCCCTGAATGACGTACAACAGATGGAGGTTTTGGACACCGGCAGCTCAGCATCTGAACTCACTTACAGTACACTACAGACACTAAAAACTCTCAGAGCAAAGTCATTAGCGTTCAAAATCGCCACTTAGTTTATCACCAGTTCCCACATAAAAAGTGGGCACTAACAGAAGGTTCACACGGATAAAGTAATAGCATTGTCAAGCTACACGTTTTCAGTGATACGGATGAGTCAGTTTTCTCTCAGGACAGATGCCAGTACTTGATTTTCTGCAATGCTTCCTAATTACCGTATCACTAGACAAAAAACAAAAACAACACACACACACACACACGGGAAGAGCTTCCTTCCCCTTTATGTTAAAGGGCAACTAATCCTCTCTCCTCACTCTCTTACATCTCCCCCCAATAAAACCCCTCCAAAAATATATCCACCCCCCCAAAAAAGGGAGATGAAAAGAACAGGATCTGCTGGGATATTTACAGAAATGAATATAATAAAAAAAAACTAATTGAATCCACGTAGCCAATTCCTTGTACTCTAGACTCGCCACTCCAGTACATGCTATTAGGACAAGGAAATGGAAGAAAAAGGTAAGTGCTTATCTGAAAAAACTGAAATGCCTCTTAATATTGAGCACGACTTCAGAAACCTCATTTTCTGAGCAACTCCAGAATGTTATTTCTGTTCAGTAGAAATACACTGCAAAAACACAATATATATTTTGCTACTGCTAGTGACATTAAACTGCATGACTTTAATTACAATTAATCATACTAGAGGCTTACCTGTTAATTTGTTCTTCAACCGTTCAATTTCTTCATTTAATTTTTTTATTTCCTTATCACGATTTGTATTTACTGTAACACACACTGGACCTTGGAGGTTCTGCATTGTCAGTGTAGATTCTTAAATTCAAAAAAGAAGAAAAAAAAGTTCAACTACGTTCCAGTTCCTTCTAATGAGCAGAATTAAGAATACACACAAATATATACCACAAACCTTGCAGTTTTCTGTTCAAATCCTGCTTTTCTTGTTCCAATTTCCGTATTTTCTTTTCATAACCTTCTATTTGTGAACTGTTCTTTAACTCACGTTGTGCATCCATATCTTTGGTTACAGTATCAGACTGCATTGCACTCTTTAAAGAGCCTCTATCGGATAAAGAACTGCAACCAAATACATAAGTTAAAACAGTTTAATGCATACTCATGGCAGTCTTTAGTGCTGACATCCTGGGATTCCACCAAATACACACCTCAAAATTTACACAAACAATTAGTACAATAATTGTTACAGTTGAGATAACTGCCAGGGTAGATACAGCTATTTTTCCCTAGATACTGTGCGTGCTGCTATAGAATTAAGATACTTTCATTTAGGACATTATGTTCACTTTGTAAATTGCTTGAATGATTGAAAACGTTAACTTCGCTATGCTAAAGGCTACCACCAGACAGCCAAGTAAGCAAAATGGAAGGGTGTAGCTACACTGAAAGAGCTGAGGCACAAAATAAAATTTAGTTTCAAGTGCTGACAAAGATGGATTTAAGTTAAGCTACATGATCTAATTCTGAAAAGGACGAGATGTCTGTACCGGGCCCTTTCTGCCAGCAACATTGCGGGGAGTAACAAACTCCAGCAAAGGGGAACAAAGGAATAACAAATAGGGCCAAATAACCTCAAAAGCACAGGCACAAGAATATGCATGAGGGGTCTTCGCGGTCAGAGGGAAGCTCTCCTCCATTTCAAGGATGGGCAAAGTGAGCTGTATCTATGCAGGTTGATAAGCACCTGAAAATCAGGAACCTGCATTAGAGCAGCACTAAGTTACACTACCTTAGCTTATCAGCAGGGCATTGGAGCAACTTGCTAATCCTGGACAAACTGTTTCTGGCAGACACGGAACATGGACGAGACTTGCTCTGAGCTGCTCTTAATGCAGAAAGAGTAAGTTTGTACCTGCCTGGAAGTGCCATATCTAGTCCCGTAAGTTTCATCCATTTCAAACAGATGGAATATTAAACATAAGGTATCTAAATCTTGAGCAAAATATGTTCAGATACTGTAAAAATGGGGATGATGATTTATCCAGAGGTACATCTATACACATCAACCATTCTACATACTTAGGAAAAAGAAACTTTCTATAATTAGGTATATTTGGGAAACAAGCCTAAAGAACAACTTTGCTTACCTATCAGTTGTGTATGTAAAACCAACGAATGGTAAATGCAATCCAGAAAAGCCTGTATGAGAACTGGGTGGCACCACTTCCTGTATAAAAACAACAGGCATGAAAACCCCAAGGAGAACCCATAGGGAGCTAAAGGCTTTTGACAGCCTCAGTGGTCAGAGAGACAGCTGAGGGAAAGGTTTTTCTTATTGCATACCAATGCAGGATTGGTAGTCATTCTTCACTGTATACCCTTCCATTGTCCTTGTAGGAACTTTATTACAGATTAGGTCACTTAACATAATGACTTGAGTTTAGGAGCCTTTCTCCCAAACCAACACTTAAAAGGGCAGCATTTCGACAAGTCCAAAGCGCAGTGCAACCATTAAAAGAAAACCCAAAACTTCAAGTCCCTAATTAAAGGTGACCTGGCACCAAAATGCATGCTTCTGTTTTACCATTTCAGTTACTGTTAGACAGGTAATCAAAAACCAAGTGAAAAGCTCCTCGTTTCTTGGTATACAGGCTGATGAAGAAATTGCACAAACCCCCCTGCTCTTCCTAACAAGTTTGCAAACTACAAGACAGAAATGGAGGAGGGGAACACTAAAAAATCCAAAGTCGTCCCCTCCCCACCACCCCTTATTCTTAAGTGACCGAAGAAGCGGCGGTAGCAATGTGAGCTCATCTCAACTGGACAGTTGCAGTCACAAGCTGCATGGAGAATATATGTATATTTTGGAATGCCCAGAGACTTTATTCCCCTCTGATAATGAATAAATGAAAATACAAGCTCCTTGTAAAGGAAAACTACAAAGAGACTTTTTGTCCTTCTAAATGTGTTTTAATTTTGACTGACCGTGTTGTTCAATGCTAAAATAAATCACGTCATTTCAAATTTGAAACATTAAAATGTTTCATCCTTACGTCATTTTGAGCATTCAGAAATGTTGAGCTTCTTTTCTAAACCGTAACACTTTCAAAAATGGATCAGTTCCAAAGTTTAATGGTATATGGTTCTTTTAAATTTCTCAGATCAGCTCCACTTGTGACCAGCTCTGAGCCTTTGAGGATTTATAACATTATGACTGCAATAAGAACACTATCCACTGTTGTAAGACTGTACCACAACGCATATCCATATGAAAGTTCTACTAAATTTGCCAGACTCAGAAACCTGTTTCATGACTTTTAGAATGAAAAACAAAACAAAAAACCTTATTTTACTAACACAACTTATTAACAATTTTTCTACTTACTCCTTTTAATAAAGCTAACCAAAAAAACCCCATTTGCTTTGAAATAAGTTCTCACTACTACCTTACAACACAGCAAGGCTGCATATTTGTATGAATAATATTTTAATAAAAGACTCACTGGATTTCTTAATACATCATCATCTACATCAAAGTTTGATGTGTCAGAAGGACTGCTAACATCTGGAATATAAGGTGCTTCTAGGTTTCGGATGTTATCCCAATTAAGTCCTTCAAAAAACGCATGAGACTTAAAATCCTCTATTCCATTCTGTCCCAGTCTACGTTCCCTACTGCAGATAAGTCGCTGAATAAGATCTTTTGCTTCTTCAGATACATCTGTAACATGGGATGGAAACTGAAATCGCTCCTAGAAAACAGAAACAAAACAATCTGAGATATTTTCAGAGAAGGGACTAATTCCACAATTTGCAACAGTGGTTTCAAAAATAAAGTGTTAAGTTACATCAACAGAATTGGAAATGAATTATCAGACGTTGTTTTAGTTCCAGCGAGCACTGGCAAAGCACAATACAGTACATTCAGTGGTATTCTTTTTGTCTTATAACGGATTTTGAGGACAAGTAACCATTTCTCAATTCCTTTAACACAGATCTGTTTGAAAGTAGCTGGGTTTACAGTAACTCTGTAAGAAAAAGCAAACCTTTAAGAGATGTACATGAATTCTGATAATCTAGAGTATATGAAGAGTCATGTAATAAAGGCAGATGCTCACTAGTGTTCTTACACACAGATCCAAGGATTTGCTGAAGATCTACTCTTCGACGTTTTATTAATTTCAGCTCCTAAAAGACCCATGATGCTTGCCATTCCCCCACAAAACACTGTCCTATTTAAAGATGCATTTTTAAAATTTGTGTTAAGTGCCTGTTTTTTTTTAAATCAAAATGTAATTTATATTTGACAAAGATTTATATCATCAAATAGAAGTTCTAAACACACAGTTACCACTAATATACAGAATTACTCTAGATAAAGTAGGGATAACTTTTTCCTGTATTTTAGCTTGCTACTATTTCTACTTTATAGCCAAGAAGGCTTTTTTTTGTTTTTTTTTTTTTCCAAGAAGCGACAACAACATTTATTGCTTGAAGCATCATTTTTCAAGTTTAAAATGAGATAATTAGGGCCTGAGACAGAATAACCCAGGTTAATCTTAAAAAAACCCCACTAAAAACAAAATCATGTTCATTGTGAGTCCAAATGAGATTGCAAGGTTAAGACTGTAGGGTAAGAGTTTCAAAAGCTTCCTCCCTGGCAGATTAAGAGCCAGGCAGCCAGCAGTAACCACTAGGTTAGTCATATATTTCAATATAATTAATAAAAAAGCATGCCACCAGTTAGTTCAGTGAAGAAATTAAAGCTAAAGAGATCAATATCCATCACTGCAAGTGTTTCAACTCTAGCAGGATTTCACCGCTTCACTGTGACAGCATGGTATTGTCAACACCTGTAAACTGCACTCATTCTGGGAGGAAGAAAACACAACACCACGCCCTACACAACAGCTTCTGGGTACCTAAGATGAATATGCCCACAAACACATCCTCCTAATAAAGTTCTCAAAAGCTCTCATGAACTGGATTATTCTTATTCTCTAATGTTCAAAACACACCTATAAGTTCCAACACTCTTCTGTCACTTCTTGTCTGGGCAAACCCCCTGACCTCACGTTCTTAATACAGCCAAGTCCACACCAGTTGACTTGCCTATTTCCTTTTTGCACTAATTATCAATGCGGCAGCAAATGTCCACAGCTGTGTAAATAATACATTACTTCATTCTTCATGCACAGTCCAGAAGAAACTTTTATTGTGCTTAACTAAGAACTAAGAGTTGGTTTTAAATTTCTATTTTTTGAAGATTTGTTAGATTTTTTTCAACAACAAAATCACCATTTAGATACAGTTTTCCTTTTAAGACAGAATTCTAACTTCTGCAGTAAAAAAATAATGATTTTCAACTACCATCACTTGAACATCTTTAAGTGGTAACAGTTTCCCCAGTGAATATATGCAGATCGAATATATTTCTTACTTCATGATTCATAATCTTCCCATAGGTTTCCACTAATGACTCTGCATAAAAGGGTGTTTCACCATAAAGCATTTCATACATGCACACACCCAGTGACCACCAGTCACATTCAGGCCCGTATTTTCCCATTCCATCTTCCATTGCTTGCAGTATCTCAGGAGAGATGTAGTCAGGAGTACCCACTGCTACTGACGATTGCACCTTAAAAATAAGGCAAAGGTTATTCTGGTTAAGTTCTCAGGTTTTCTCAGCAAAATTCTTAATCATATAGTAGTATTTCTGGTAAATGGAGACACCAGAACATGGTTGGCTCTGAAAACAGAAGAGATGTATAAAATCATAGCAGCAAAATAAAGAATATATTAAGAAAGTAACAAAGACTAAGATAAAGACAAGTTCACGGCTATTTCAACAAAACATCTGTTGATACGTTTTATTCTGAACACAGCAGAAAACCCAAAATAGTCATACCTGCTGTGAGCAAAAAAAAAGACAAGAGGAGAAAATGTTTTGTCTTTGTGAGTGTTTATACATTTAAAGTTGCATTTGCCTGTCAGAAGTTGAAGAACGCGTAAGCAAGGAGTTCAAATTTTACGCTCAAGTTTTACTATTCCATTTGACGACAGCAAAACAAAGTCCCTGGGCTAGCAGCACCCTACTCGTTGTGTCAAAAATTGGTTTATTAAAAATTGTGTATTATCTAATTGCGCAGCAGCATATAGCTCAGAGGTAAACTAGTGAATTTCTGTATGGCCAAGGAGTAGCAAAGCTTTGACTATCAGGGCAGTGGCAGAGCTCTAATCTCTAGGAATATGTACTGAGGGTTTACATAGCAGAGCAGTTATGGCTCCTTCCAATTCATTCTGCATTTTAATCTAGTAAATCCTTGATAGGCATTGTATGATCACAGAATGTCTCCAAGACACGCGCTTGTGCCAAAATTGGTGAATAATGCTGCATGCCATATTTTGGCAAGATTGTTACCCTGGGATACACCAACCAGTCAAAGGAGAAGAAAAAAAAAAAAAAGATGAAGAAATTAGCTTATAGTGATGTAGCCAACCTGGTGCACAAGGTGGCCAATTACTGCACCCTTGCCGTTTCTTTTCTAAAAGGTTCCTGGAATATGAAACAAACTGCTTATTAATTATCTCCTCATTTTGGATGACTTTCACTTCAAGTCTTTCATGACTGTTAGGTTCGTGGTCACCTACGATTCTACCACATCAATAGCATCAAATTTGTACCCTTTTAACAAAGGGTCTTCAGATTTTCCACAAAGAAAAGACCTCACAAGAACTCAAATGGCTAGTAGGAGAAAAGGTAAAAGACCAAAAAGCATAGCAAAGGATACATCTTTAAAAGTCAGCAGTAGACGAGTATTCTAAAAATATTTTAAAAACGTGTTGAGTTATACACGTCCCTCAATTTTTAGTACGTCAAAAAGCTTACAATCTGTCATCTCCCTCGTGCATACTGACAATGCCTAATACTTTTAAGACTAGCAACTCACTTCAAAGACCCCATTACTAATCACCCCCTTAAATTTTGCTTCATACATACTGTGCCATCTTCACTCATTTTCAGACAGGACCCAAAGTCTGCTAGTCGTATGTGGCCGTTCATGTCCAAAAGAACATTATCAGGCTTTATATCCCTGTTATAACAGAAAGAGTTGAAAAGATTTCAATATATAAATTACTAGCTCTGCTTGTGAGGATGAATCTTGCATCAGAATAAAAAGAAATTTTATGTTGGATACCTATTGGTGCAAACACTTTTCTTCTGTATATGATCCCCTCCTCCCAACTTAAAACTTTGCCTGCAACACTGAAGGCTGGGATTATATCGGATTTTCAGCTCAGCCGAATTGAACTCTGAACAGTCAAATAACCAAATATGGTTATTATGGTGAGTCATAGCACTGTAATGGAGAGGTAGATCACTTCTTCAACGTTATTTCGAGATTATGCGTGTCACAGCATATTGTTTACAAGCAATAAGGACAAAAGAGAAATGGTAATTTATTTTAATCTGCTGTTTTTTGCCAAGTATTATTACTAACTTCTAACTTTGATCCGGGAACATTTGTTCCTTCTTCTCCAAAGTTTGTCCATCATTTCTGTTGGCCAGTATTCTTCACCTTCTAGTCAAGACTGTCTTTCCATAAGCTATTATACAGCACATTTGGTTCTGCTGGTGCCTAAAGCCCTATGGCATGCTGTGTACACGCAACAATTACTCCTCTACACACCACGGAATTTCCCTTGCTCTGGAATCAGGGCAATAGCACTTCAGCAGGCTAGAGTAACATTAGAAAGTCTCTGATATCGAACCACTTCAGCTGCTTTCGCATATAGCTGGTATAAAATGGTATTCAGCATGCTGAGGCTAGTAAAAGACCTAAATGATCTAAGAATTCCATTTCACTGTAGCTCATTCCTTGGTATCATTTTTGATATCAGGAAGGCAGCCAAGAAGGGCTTACTGAAGAGCATCTTAATTGAATTTAGTACACTAATTAATCGCATTTTCTTTCACCACTCTGTACTCAATTTTACATCAGGTAAAAGCATCAGTTAAAGACAGATTAAGACATCCAGACAATTTAATAAGACAGTACGAATACACTTTTTCTTTCTCTCTCTCTCTCTTTTTTTTATTTTTTATTTTTTAAAAACAGCCTCCAAATATCACAAATAATTTAAGAGCACCTAGCCAATATGTTGGGAAGACAAAGGGTAAGGAGGAAAGAAGAGTAAGAGGGCAGGACTGTGTCAGTTGAGCACCAGTTCTGTTGGACAACATCCCACAGTCTCACAAGTTAACTTGTATCTGTCTCCTCCCTTTTCTTTAGCTGTCGGTATACAGGATCAACTCCCAACATGTAAGCATATCACCATGCTACTTCAAAATATCACCGACTATCTGAGCTAGCTTAAGATAACCAAATCTATAAATGCATGTGTGTTTGGGTTTTTTGTTTGTTTTAAGATACCAGACATATTTAAATAAAACTTTATATTATCAATAATTAAAACCACACGTGCTTTACATTTAACCCACTGGTCTTGTTGCTTCACAAAATGCTGAACTTCCTTTCAAATGTGAGTTCCAAATGCCACTACATGTGATCAAAAACTAAAAAAAGGGAGGACGGACGTTTATACAATAGCTTCCGCTTAATTTTTGAGGAAGAGACTAGAATTTCTAGGAACAAATGAAGAAAAAATACGCTCTAAAGAAATCTCATTACTCAGATGTGGAAGTTGATGACGACTGCTTTTGAAGTTGCTAAATTCCACAACATCACACTTGAGCAAACTTATGAAAGAAAACACCACGTTAGGTTTAATGATGGGTTCTCACACGTACAAAAATCCTGCCAATCTGCTACTTTTTTCCAAAGCAAACTTGAATTACTGCTTTTTAACCAAAGGCTAATGCTCTGAAACTAATTACTGAAACTTCGCTAATACTGTTGTTCAGTGACAGTACTAGAAAAAATATTAAATGTTAATCTATGCCTGTCAAGATAGATAAAGTACCTTCTTACTTGTTACAATAAGGAACAAAATTTGCTAACTCAAAAAAATCAAGCCATCTCACTCTGCTCGCCCAGTAAACTAATTAGTAATTTTCCACTGTAAAATTTGTTCCATACATTTCAGTTCTAGATATTGTCATAATTCTCTTAAAGTCCCATCATTACAAGTCAAGCTTGGTGGAGGCAGAAGACTATAAAAGCCCAATATGAGCTTTTATTTGTTAAATCGCACCGCTCAATGCATGAGCCAGTGGCATCCAACACATCTCTGCTTTACATGCAGACCTCCCTCGCCTAAGGGAATACTGTTTCTGCTCAGAAGGCTTAACGCCTCATCTTTGAGCTCTGCTGTTTCCTATCTACAGCTAACAGGGCAAATAAGCCTTTAAAAAGATCCTTGAAAACCTGTCCAGAGCAGTCATGTTTCTTCTTAAATCCATTCCAGTTGCCACACAATAGTTCGTGGGCATTCATACATCATCTATTCAAACACATGTTTTGCCCTCACGCTCCTGTTGCCAAAACGGACCCTCTTCATTCAACCCTGCGCAAAGGTCTAGTTGGTCAGTTAGTCAGATTACCTTCTTTGGAAGTGGGTGCAAGGGTGCCTCTGGTGGAACTTTTCTGTTAACAGACGTGTCTTCTATGCACCACTGAAAACTCACATTCACACAAAAGCATGCTAAATCAAACTAAGCATGCTAAATCAAGTCAGATGCCTGAATTCCGTGTGGACTTATCCCAAATCTGCCAATAGCCAAGCCATGCCTTTGGACATAAAACTTGTGATATTACTGAAACTATCAATTTTTACAGCATTTTCTGTTTTCAAGCACAAGACAGACAACTTGTTAACAAAATTCAGTCTCACCAATTAATATGAAAGAAGCAATACACTCTCTTGCATGGATGGTTGATGCTTCAGTTCCTCTCACACAGACAGTTGGTGAATCCACTTGAATCTAGAGCTTTTGCTTTCAGTGGATCCCAAATACATACTAATCAACACACAGTAGCTTCATTTCTGTCCATTAGGCAATGATACATCTACTGCATAGTCCACAAAGGTCAAACCACCCAACCAGTTCAAAAACAAATACTGGTGCTTATTTAAGATAGCAGATCACCTTGTTATGTGTCTGTGGCAGGTATCAGAGACAGCATTACACACAGTCTTACAGTTCTTTGCTGCAAATTCTTCCATAGGTTTACTTATGTTACGTTTACAAACACTATTAAAAAGTTGTCTTTTTTTTAGATGCATATGCAAAACACTTAAGCAGCCTTAGCTTTAAACTAGTGCTTCAGCCAAATTTGACTAGTGTAGCTAATACACAATTAGATGATTTGTCCCAGTAAGATATCAACAGCTGACATATAAACAACCAAAGGACAGCAACAGCTGTGCTGTATAACATCTAGGGCCCAACTCAGTTTCTAAGACAACTGCACAACAACAGGCTATCGTTATTTTATTCTCGAAACATGCAAACCTTTTAATCCACAGCATGGACATTTACCTACAGAACACCGTGCAACTTTTCAAGCATCCTATGCAATTGCTGAGTTACTAAACTTCTATTCATCTCAAAAGATGATGTATGTTTACATACTTATAAAAGCCTGTCCTAAAATGCAGAGCTAATTTAAGCAATTAGAACAAAGAGCCTGTAACACTTCAAACAACCTAGATATTGTCCACATCTATTTACAAGGTTACAGAGTTTTTACATAATATAATATGTGTGTGTATGTAAAAATGTGTGCATATATGTACATATAAATATATATTAAATATATAAATATATAAAATATATAACATATAAATATATATGTACAAATATGTATCAATCTTTGAAACAGTGATAAAATTCTCAATGGAATAAAGATCAAAACATTGTATTTTGTTTTAGAGTTCCCTGTACCTTTTAAATAATAATTGTAAATAAAATCACCTCACTTACCATAAATTTCATAAGAGATGAGTAAACCTCTCCTCATTTTACAGACATAGAAATAAAGGCATGGACAGATAGAGGAGCTTGGTTGGGGTATACCTACCCAGTCAGACACAACACTAGTATGGAGTCCACTTCTCCTGAGCTGGCATTTCAGTGACCTGTCATCAACCTGCTCATATGGCCACAAGCACTTTTCAGTTAACTAAGAAAACTTTGCTGCTCTCACACTCAGTATTTTGCAGCTTCCCTGTTCACCAAAACGAAGCTATATAGTCAAGAGTATAAAGAGAGAACTGCAAAGGTTCCCAGGACCAACATCATTTTGCTTTCTAATTGACATACTGCATGTAGTTGTTAAATCTGAAAAGCAAATAATGGACAGAAATGCTCACTTGATCAAGATTCTTGCAATGACAAAACATGGTTTACCATGCGCCTCCCTAGCACTATTAACAGCTCTTTGAAACAACTCGCTCCAAACGGTAACCCAGAGAAGTGTACAAAGTGTACTCTGCATTCCTGACTCATTTCCTCTTCTACAGCATAAGGAATGTTATATTTTTAATCTAAGTTAACAAGATGGTGGACACTGCCAGAGACTGATTTGGAAATATATTCCGTGCGCAGAAACAGACAATTAGACAGGCATATGCCTGCTTGTTACAGTAAGCATACATTTCTGTTTGATGACCACCTCAGGTAAATTGATGCAGTGAAGTTATCATGCGTTTACTGCAGAAAAATTCTGCCTAATGTCTAAACGTTTGCAGAGAATTCAAACTATCTCAAACATTTAAGCTGTCACGGATAAAGACAAATAAACATTCATCAGGTGACCCTGTCCAAATGAGAAATAATTCAAGAATCCTGATGAAAAACAAAAGCTTTAGTAAAAGGTTAGTTAGCTAAATGGATAGATGAGGGGAGAGCAGTGGATGCTGTCTACCTGGACTTCAGCAAGGCTTTGGACACTGTTTCCCCTCACATCCTCATAGGTAAACTCACAAAGTATGAGCTGGACGAGTGCATGGTGAGGTGGACTGAGAGAGAACAGGCTGAATGGCAGAGTTCAGAGGGTTGTGGTCAGTGGCGCAGTCTAGTTGGAGGCCTGTAGCTAGCGGTGTCCCCTGAGGGTCAGTACTGGGTCTTGGATGAAGGGACAGAGTGCACTCTCAGCAAGTTTGCTGATGATACTAAACTGGGGGGAGTGGCTGACACGCCAGAAGGCTGTGCTGCCATTCAGAGGGACCTGGACAGGCTGGGGAGTTGGGTGGAGAGGAACCTCCTGCAGTTCAACCAAGGCAAGTGCAGGGTCCTGCCCCTGGGGAGGAATAACCCCATGCAGCAGGACAGGCTGGGGGTTGACCTGCTGGAAAACAGCTCTGCAGAAAAGGACCTGGGAGTCCTGGTGGACAA